TAAACAGCTGGCAAGGCAATCGCATGACTCCAGCATACACCAGCTGGTGCTCGCCCCCTCTTCCAGCCTAAGCTCTCGGGTGCTCATCCTAATCTCTTGAGCGCTTATAGCCATTGCAGTTGGCCACGAGCCAGGAGAGCCTGAGCTAGCTCTTCTCTGTGGTACTAGTTCTTTGCTGTGAACACAGGCTTAAAACCCTTTGTTCCATCAGAACAGACATATATATTTTGTCTATTATCCTATATCTATCCTCTTGGGCAAGGGGGATAACTCAGTGGATGAATGTTTGCCTGACATGCACGAGGCAAGTTTAATCCCCAGCACCCACCTAAATATTTTAAGAGCCATTTCTAAATCCAGCATCTCAATATAGACAGCATGCATCTAAAACAATGAATAAAGAGCAATAGTAATTAATATTCATTAAGCATGTACCATGTACCGGTTCTAAACCCTTGGGTTATACATTATTAAAGATCCATGATACTACAAAGTAGGCATCAGCATCACCTCAATTTTATGAATAAGGAAACTGAAGCATAGAAGTAACATAACTTGCCCAAGGATACAAAGCCACTCTGGGCTCAGCGTCTCCAGTCCTACCCACTGCACTGTGCTGAATTCCACAACCAAAATCAGGTCCTCAAGGAGAAGGAAACCATCAACAGAGAATCTGACAGCCACACACCTGGAACATCTTAACAATGCAAGCTGTTTAGTTTGACTTGCAGGATGCTCTAAGGAAAGCCAATACCCACTTATCCTGACATAAGAGGCCACCTGCAATCTCCAAATGGCTGTGTAATCACATCTGATTATCCAGCAACTGTAGCAGGATTATCCAAATCAATTCTCTGCTGAAAAGAGCTGAATTCTAAGGGAAGAATTTTTTAAAAAATGATATGGTCTATGTAGCTTAAGCTGGACCCCCCACACCTGCAACCCTACAACTTCAGCCTCCCAAGCACCGGTGTCGCAGGTGTTTGCCACAAAGCTCAGTTCTAAGGGAAGCCTTTCAGCCACCCTGAAGTCCCATTCCTCCTATATTTATTACTTTCCTTGCCAAGACCAAATACCGGACAAGAAGCGGTTTAAGGGAAGAAAGGTTTACTTGGGTTTACTGGTTCAGGGCATGCAGTCCATTATGGTAGGAAACATACAGCAGCAGGAGGTAGCTGTTCACACTGCACCCACAGGCAGAAGCAGAGAGTGAACACTGGTGCTCAGCTCGCTTCCTGCTTTTCATTCTGCCTAGGACCCCATCCACACAACCCTACTGCCCAGAGCTAGAGTGGGTCTTCCCATCTCAACTAAGATAATCTAGATAATCCCACACTGACATGCCTTGTCTCTTAGGTGCTTCTAGATCCCATCAACTTGACAAAACTATCTCATGCCACTTCAATATAGATCACAGACTTCCCAGAGAGTTCTAATGAGGTCATGGAACCTACAAATAGGGGCCTAAGACTTGACCACATGTCTAATTTTTTGTCTATATATTTTTAAGATTTATTTTTATTTTATATGTATGGATGCATGTCTGGGCACCATGTGTGTGCAGTGCCCAGAGAGGCCAGAAGGGGCAACAAATTCTCTAGATCTGGAATTACAGATGGTTGTGAGCAGAAAAGCGGGTGCTGGGAACTGAACTCGTGTCCTCGGGAAGAGCAGCCAGTACTTTTAATCACTGAGCCATCTCTCCAGCCTTTGTCTATATCTTAAGGAAGTTCAAATGTAAATCTCCCTACATTTTAGTAGTAACTTTTAAAGCGTACAAATTAACTTCTAAGCTTTTAAATGACTGTTTTACAACTTTAATAATGTTAATGCAACTCAACTTTATGATTTTAGAAGCAGAGACTTAAGGATATTTTTCCTCATATTCTTCTGTATTTCCAAATAATAAAGTTGGCAAGATATTCATTTTATCTTACAGTTAAAATGCTCAAAATAATATTATTCTGTCTCTGAAAGTAAGTGTTGGATCTGAGAATTATGCTAGCTTAAGCAAGCACGCTGCAGTCTGTTAATTGGAAAGATGGGGTCCCTAAAAAGCAAAGGGGGTAGGACAAACAGTATCAAACTATTTATAAAGCTGGGATAAACGATGTCCTTCCCCACAAGCAGAAGTGAAAAGGAGGGGGAGGAGAGGCGGTCGACACCAAGCATAATAATTCTGATTGTAATCTGTCTTCTAAAGGTCTGGGTTCCATGCTATTGGCTACAGCTCTCCATAAGGATGTTGGTCACGCATAGCGACACAGAGGGTGGCAAGGAGATGACAAAACGGTGCTTTGCAAACAGAACCGTGAATGTGCATGTGGCGAGAGTGACTGCAAGTACTAAGTGCATCTGTATGTTTCTATGGTTCCCTACTCTCTGGAGGGAGCCAAAGAAAGAATAGGAGAATATTCCAAATCCTAAAAATCCAGCATGGAGGAACTAGCCCCAGAAACTGAAGACTGTCTGTGTTCTACTTTAGGGGTACCCCAAATTACCATCCAATATTAGATATCTGAGTTCTCCAAATTCTCCTCCAACACAGTGTAGGTGCCATCAGTGTACAGTGGGTAAAGGGACTGAGGGATGCAGCCGTGGGTGAAAGGCGTGTGTGGAGGGATGTCCAAGCCTCTCTGCTGCAGGAACGACTGCACTAGGCTCAATCAAGCTTTTTGTTTTGTTTTGTTGACTTTTAATCATTCAATTCTTCCATACTCCTGGGTTTGTCCCTCCCTTCATAAGAGACTGGTCTTTCACTAAAGACAGTAGCTTCCCCATCCGAGATGGACTGACAAAGCCTGCCAGCTCTACGGATGAAGGAACACAAGGATGGATTCTGTTTTGGTAAGGTGGGGCTCTCTTGTCCTTTGGACAAGAGAGTAGACCCTGCAGTGCATCTTGGGTTCACAGGTGCCCCCTAGAGGCTGACTTGAGGTAGTTCCAGGCTGATTGGTACCACTGGACCCTGTTCTGGGTGGCTGCCTCTCTCCCACTGAAGGCTATTCTCTTGTTCATTCTCTGAGGGCACAGTACTCTTCTAGACAGTTCCCACAGCATCTCCAGAGTGAGGTAGCACCCCAGGCTAGACCCCTGACCAACCTGGCTCAGTGGCCCAGATCCCCAGGACACACTCCTGACACAAGCTTACAACAGTTAAGTGTATTCCTATCTGCACGTTCATTTCATAGATGGCTTCCCAGGCCTTTTAAGAACCAGAAAACTTTTCTTTAGGTCACTGTGAGCTTGTTTTCTCCCTACACCATAATGTGGGCATATTCTCTACCTACCAACCAGAGTCCTGTTGGGGACAGGACCTGGAGTCGAATTCTCTCTCTCTGGATGGTTAAGACTCCACTATTCTGTCTTCTTTCCCACCCTCTTCATACTGTAGCATTTCTCTTTCTCTCCCCCCACCCCTTCCTTTCTCACTCTCAAACTGCAGGCACTAATTAAACCCCTTCTAGAAAACAGATTTTTGCCAGCTGCAGGAATTCTGGGTAACAGCCAAACCTGAACAGAGACAGTCTGGTTGAGAAAGATAAGCTAATGACAACCAGGGCAGCACAGGCCCCCACAAACAAGTGGGACGCTGAATTCCAGCTGTCTCCAGATTCCCAAGCGAAGTGGACAAAGGCCCTACAGCAGCAGGGACTCTGGGTATGCTCTTCCTCCAATTGCCCTTTCACAGGACGAAGGGCCAGACTTTGCTTTCTATGCCTAGGGCAAAGCTACACCTGAAAGACCAAAGCAATTCCCCCCAACACTGGAGTCCCTCCCCCTAGCAGAACTGTAAAACACACTGCCGGAAAGGTACATGCAAGAGCACCCCTGGGCTGCCACAGTAACCAGGTCTGGAGTGGGCAGCACCCACCAGAGTGAGATCAGCACAGCCTGAAGTGGCAGGTGGGGCTCTGCAAGGGACCCAACTCCCTAGCAGCTTCCTCCATTACCAGGCAGAGGTGGAGGATGTCCCAGAAGCCAGGGCTACCAGGTGTGGTGATACAAATCTTTAATCCCAGCACTTGGGACCCTGGGGCAGGTGGATTTCTGAGTCTGAGGTCAGTCTAGTTTACACAGAGTTCCAGGCCAGCCAGAATGATGAATGAATGAATGAATGAATGAATGAATGAATGAATGAGAATAGTATGAAGGAGCTAGGGCCTTCAGGGTAAGTCTTGGTGGACTTTTCGCTTCTCAGTAGGTAGCCTTGGAGTCTCCCCAGAACGTCCATCACCCTCCCATTCCTATTTCTAGGATGAAGAGAACTATTTCCCTCTTTAGAAGTCTGGAGTCCCCAGTGAGGGACAGGTCCAGCTGTCAGAGCCTGACCTAGAAATTGAACTTTCTATCCTTTCTCTGCCCCTTCACACCCCGCCCTACCAGACAGTGAATCTGTCTCCAGCAAGAGAGACTTTAACATTTATATACATGTATATTCAAATCTGTTGAATTGAGAGATATTTCTGAAGCCCAGTGGAGGACATGGGTTGTGGGCTCAAGACTAATGCACGAAGATTTTTTTTTTAAATAAACACTGAGTACCAGGCAGGGACACCTGGCCAGGTCCTAAGGTCCACCCCAGTCCTGCAGGTATCCATTCCTAGCCAGAGGGAACGCCTGACAGCAGCCTATCACTGTGAGGACAAGAAGATTCATACAGAGAGCTGTGAACACTCAGAAGGGCCCTACTGAGCTCCACTGTATTCTTGCCTAATTACTTATCTATTTAATTGTAAAGGAACTAATCACTACTGGAGCCATCAAAGAAAAACCACAGATACAGATAGGGCAGTTCTACAGCCCAGAGTGCTGGGCTCCAGGTGGTCCACACTGCCACTGGAACCCATTTGCAGCTTCCCAAGGTATCTGTGAGGGCGGACTGGCCAGGAGCCAATCCTAAAAGAGAACTACCCTTTATATGTTCTTTCTCTGAATAGGCAATTAATTTAATCTAAGATTTAATGAAAGACCCCAGAAGGGAAGGGGTAAATACACACACTGGCTGTCACCATGCCATCTCCACTTCTCTCCGGGGACAAGGAGGCTTTCCAAGCCATCTGCTTTAAATCCTCTTCCCACAGATGTCACCACAGGGCACCAACACCTCTGAGGAGGGAGCTGGTGCCAAGCCCGACCGACAGTTCCAGAGGGTAGGCTGGGCTCAGCACTGTCTAATCCATAGTAGGGGTCCAACCTGGGGCCTGCCGAAAAGAGCAACAAATGTCCCTAAGCGGTGGGGCTTTGGGAGAGCCTGGGTCACTCATCCCACATTTCCCTATCGGCACCAGATCCGATCCAAATTCTTGACTGGTTTTACCTGTTGAATGTTTAGAAAGCATCCTTGCCTTTCCACAAAGACACTGGCCCACCCAAGAGGGGGTAGTTAACTTCCCCTGTGCTTCTCAGGGCCGTGGTGAGTGAGAGTGGTGATATGGCTCCATTCCCCCAGCATCGCTAATCCTTCCCCATCCACAGGTACTACTGAAAGCCAGTCGCAGCCGCAAAGAAAACCTGCTCCATATTTGTGTGTGGCAAAGCCGGCTTCTTCCTTAGAAATCGCAACCTACCCAAGTTCACCAAGCAAAAGCAGACAACGAAGTAACCACACGGTCCTAAGCAGAACATTGAGCAAGCATAACCTCCAAGCGTGGAGTGGCCCTCGGCTGGGCCCAGGGTTCTGGCGCAGCAGGCAGCAGGTAGCTGGGGAAGTACCAGCCCCACCCCCGGGGCAGGCCGTGAAGTTGCAGTCGCCTTTTACCTGGACATCGCTGCTTTGGGACAGCCAGGAGAAGGGGGGACCCCGGAGCTCAGATTCCCGCTGCGTCGCTCAGCAGGAGCGCGGGGGCAGAATGGGACCCCGCTGGGTGGCGGTGGGGACCGTAGGAGCAGAGCTGGGAGGGAGAGGCGAGCGGCAGGCAACCGGGAGGAGGTAGGCGTGGGAGGGCTTGAGGGAGAAAAGGGGGTGTGCGGGCAGGCTTCTAGGGTGCGGGGCTGAGAAAAGGGAGACAGATCGGAGGACGGGGACCCCCGACGCGGGGAGGGGTGTGGGCAGAGGTGGAAACTGGGGAACGCGTAGATAAGGGAAAGAGCTTGGCAGCAGGGCTCACACCCGCTGCTTGGAAGCCCGCCCCTGCATTCGGATCCTGGCATCGCGGACACCTCTCCGGGGTCGCCCACCGAGACCCTAAACACAAGCCCGCCCAGCGAGGAGCCTCACAACCGCTGGGGCCCGGCGCGCGCCTCACTCACCGCCTACGGTCCCGGCCTCCGTTGCTGTGCGTAGGGCTCTCCACCGGCAGCCAGCTCCTCCTGGCGGGAGTGCAGGCGGCGGTGGCGCGCGCAGGCCGCCGGACTCGGGGTTCCGCAGCGCCCCCTGCCGGGACCGCCGGGTCCCTGCCCAGCCCAACGCGCTCAGGATACCCTGGAGCTCCACCCCCAGGCGGCCGTGCGGGACCTGCAGGCTGCGGCGACCCGCACCCCGGGCCCTGGAAGGGGACACGGCCTCGGAGTGTCCAAACAGCCATCCGGACAGGCTCCGGTCGCGCCGTCCCGGTCGTGGAAAGCACGCGCACTCGGAGCGCACAGGGCCTGTGCTACGATGGACTTAGGACCCAGAAGGGTGCCATGGCCCCGGACACGGCACTAGACCTGTCCCAGCCTTGGCGTGGGTGCTTTGGGACTGCGTGCCCTGACCCCGCGCCGCGGATCTAGTCACCGACATGGGTCCCGCGGTGCCTCATGGACTCAAAACTGTCATAACCTAGCCACTGTGCCACCTCCACCCAAGCGCCTGTCCCGCGCTTCTCTTCCGGCGCGGGCCACATCCGGCCTGTGTCTACGCTAGACCTCGCAGTAGTTTTGTCCCTAAAGGCCTGCAGGCACCCTTGAGTGGTCCCGGCTGAGTCCCGGGGGCGTTTCTGCATAGCCCCAGATTTGGCCGCCGAAGACCCGCGCAGCACTCGTTCTGTAAGGCTGTATTGTTTTATTTGGTCTGGTGTTTGTGGGTCTTTTTTTTTTCAACTGCTGTAGAGAAAGATCTCACCAACTGCAATTGTGAGATTGCCTTTGTTGTCAGTTCCAGGACTAGGGACTACAGTGACACCCAGAACTGACCCTGAACAAAACAGGTGCAATTCGCCTGTAAGGTGCAGTTCCAAGGGAGACCATCACTTGGTTTTCCCTAACTCATTCGATAGTGACTAAATCAAAACACTTTATATTTTATCCATTTTTCTATCTACCTCTATTCCCCCCCCCCATCAGCTAGACTCTACTTCCCTGGTCGGAATTCCATTTACCTCCGTGGTCCAAGCCATCTGGAATGCCGTCTTTGTCCAAATGCCTTGATGGCCAGCTGGCACTTGCCTGAGGACACTAGCTACTAGCTAATTCTATCAGTCTCACCGTATTACCCAGACTCAACACCACCTTCAGCCTGTTTACGCCTTGACCACTATTGACAGCTGTCCTCAATACATGAGCATGAACTCTCACTCCCCCTTAAATTCCTACTTGGACTGACCCTCAAGGACCTCCACAGCCCAGGCATCCTACCCAATACAGACTCTTCCTTCCCTCCACAGACTTTGACAGTTCTGCTCTAATTCCAAGTTCCACTCCTTCACAATTCACACAGGCTGCAGATGACAGACAGCTCCATCCACACTAGCCCAAAGCAAAAAATAAAAATAAATCAGGAAAAAAAAAAAGCGCAGGCCATGTCAGCTTCAGGCCTGGAACTTGACCCCAGAGACTCAGGTTTGTTTTCTCTTAAGTCTACCACCCTATCAGGACCACAGGAGTCTCCAGAAGACCCAGGCTCACTACTCTGCCTCCAACACAAAACCAGCCTCTTTCTGCAAACTACCCAGGCCTGGTTTTGTTTTTCTGGATTGAGCCCTTGTCAGTTCTGTGTCACAACCTCTGTAACCCATAGGGGTCTGTTCCCTTTCTTGGCTACTTACTCACCCTTCACATGGGATATGTGGACAGTCCTAGATTCAATACAATCACAAGAGGATGAAAGGTGACTTGGGCACCATTTCTCTATAAAAATTTGCCTCTATCCCACTTGACTGGGGCATTCTTCTGGAAGAGCACACATTGGAAGTGGGAACAGGCCTCCTCGGCTTGAATCTTCCTCCGCAGAGCACTTAGGGTTTCCATCTTTGCACCATCCTGCAATCTAGGTTAAGATTTGATACCACAATTGTCTGAGCTTCAGTCCTGGCCATTTCCAGCCTCTTTCCTTCGTCCCCTATTCCCTAAAGACTGACATCCTTCCCACAGTGGAGAAAACATCCCACTTCCTTTCCTGAGGACCTTTAAGGGTGGAAGGGTTTCCAGGGAAGGGAAAAGGAGAGACTCTGCAGTGATGAAATAGGATGTGTGCCTAAGGCAGCTGGAGCCACTTGGCTAACAGCTGGGGAGGCAGTGCCAAAGAGTGTAGGTCCCAGATACCCTCAAGCAGGAAGGAGGGGGCAGATTTCTCTCATGCTGGGTGCCAACATAATACTGGTTATCCAAATACGTGTTCCAAATATCCCCTACTATCCTCCAAGTGAAATAAAAATTCTGTTTCTCTGGCCCTGGCAACCAAGAGAGTCCTGACTAGGACAAACCCCCACCCAGCACAGTGTCACATGCTCCTGCAAAACAGCACTTGTCACCTTCATTACTCATCTGCTAGAGCAGCAAACTGTGCCCCTGGATGACCATAAAACAGAGAACTAGCAAGATACCAGGGACTCTCACCCTTCCTCCTGAGCGGCTTCCTGCCTGCTCCTTTGTCCTTGCTACACTCACTACACTCAGATCGTTGATGCCTCCAAGAAAACACCCATCATTCACTGAAAGCTGAGTCTGCCTGCCCTCTAAAAACACTGGGCGTGTCATGAATATTCTGCTGGGCAGCACACTTTGCCACTTTGCCCCAGCATCCCTAGTTGGATTGGAGCAGCCATCAGCGGATGAACACCTTCAAGGCAATCTTGCCTCTGAAGCAAAACGCCTGCAAATATTTGCACAGCCTCCTTTGTCTGTGGACTTATAAAACCTGCTCTCTGTCCCCTCCCTTCTTACAGGGGCACTGCCACAGGGTGCCTAGGCTAAGTTAACAAAAGGCCATGCCAATGGGTCGTCCTAGGGAGAAGAACAGGTTGCTTTATTTGAGCCAGTTTCTACATTGCAAAGACCTGGAGTGCCCACAGTTCTGCCTTACAGCCAAATCTATTAATTCCACAAAATATTTCTGTGCTGCCCACCAAAATGTTCAGATGGGCAATATTATTTCAAAATTCTCTTCACTGTGGGTTTGGTTTCTTTGGTTATAACTAGAATGTTCATTCACTACAGGAATGTGGAAAAATACTAAGTGTTCAATATTAAAGATTAAGATAAAAAACATTCAGGATAGCTTTCTGTCGATTCATATAGCAGCGAACACCAGACTGACTGACATATTTATATTAAATGGAAATTGTCCTGTCTACCCCACATCTGCAACCCCAGCACCTCGGAGAGATAAATATCTTGCAAAAGGTTAAAGGTCCATTCTTAGGTAGCTGCAGAGCTGCCCTTCCTAACATGTTCATGTTTTAGAAAGGCAGACACCCCCCAACTCCAGGGTGGTCCGTTCTCATTTATGCATGCATGATTCTTTTTCCTTGGTACCAGCTGCAGTCCCTTCCCCCACCCCAACAGGCTTATTATAAAAGCCCCTTCCCACTCCCGAGAGCAACGAGGGAGGGTGAACTCATTTTCCCATCTATCTGGGGGAAATTTAATTATAAAGTCAAATCTGGGAGAACAGAACACAAAATAACCACATTAAATAAAAATAAAAGAGGGCTCTGAACCTGACCGTGAGCCAAAAGAAGAAGAAAAAAATCACAAAAATATTAGAGTAATTCAATGAATCGTAGATCTAAATATTCTTTTTTTCCCCCTCTTAAACCTTCAGCTCAACTGAAAAATCTTTCTAAGGACAACCGAAGCAAGCATTAGATGAACTCACACGAATCACATTTAGAAGTCATAAAACGACAAGAGCTGTGGCAAGCTGTGTATCTAAAACAGTCAAGTTTATAGAGTGAGCACTTTACAAAAGCCAGATGAA